AATTAATTATTATTAAACGAACTCGTTCTAACTCAGTCCAATTAAAAATGTTACAAGGCTCCTTCTGCCTCAATTTCTTTTAATAAAGCCCATGCATGCATCGCATGGGTGCCAACTAGTATAACCTTCATAAAAATTATTGTAAAATAACAATTTATTCATATGTTAATACATCAAGTATTTTTAAGAAAAATTACCTCATATATTATCTATCAAATTCATATTTTTATATATAAAATATAATAAAAATTACAAAAAAACTAAAAATCTATATATATTATTAACAAAATAATCAATTTGAAATAAGAAAAAACAAAACTGATCCAATTATCAATCGAGACAAAATCAACAATATAATCAATTTGGTTTGATTCAATCAATCAACTAAAATCAATGTTTTAAAAACAACCTTGAATCAAACTGCTTTGATCACTAGTTTTTGAGTCAGCGGTTCGATCATCTGGTCCAAACGGATGACTTGCTATAATTTAAAAAAATAATTAAAAAAAACAGCAAAACTGTTGTCTGATTTAAGGATTAGACCACCTAGGTCAGTATCACTATTTCATAAAGGAATGATTCAGGGATGAAATGGAACTGATGATTGCCTGAACAATTTCGAAGCTGAATAGTCTGATCGTCTGGATCAATAATGATTTGAAAATCATGGGTAAACCAACAAATTGACAACCCTAGCACTGGGTTTGATTCTAGAACTTGGGGAGTCCATGTTTAAGCACCGCTTAATGGGAACTAGTGGGGACCCGTGTGATGCACAGGATTTGTTAAGTTAAAGATAAACAATAGAAACATGTAAGAGTATACATAGGGATGTCAATGGGTCATGTTCGGCACGGGTTTGCCTCAATCCTAACCCGACCCTCCAACACTCTAACCCAAACTCGATCCGACTCGGCTTAAAAATGCATGATTCCTGAACCCGACCCGACCTTATAGGGTTTAACCTGACTTGACCGGTATAGTTTAAAATGTATTTTTTTAACACATTTTGAAGACCTAAAATACATTAATATAAATAAGGAAATTGTTTTATAGATTCTAAGGTGTTATTTTTTCCATTTAAAAAAAGAAGAAAATCAAAATCAACATATAAATAAATTATAAACTTTAAGCCTATAAAGTTAGAAGTCAAAAAATTGCAAGGATACTTGGTATATATGCAAGGTATCATGACCCTGTGGGGTGGGTCAGCCAAATATACTTGACCCTAACCCGACCCTATAGGGTCAGGTCAAGCCGGGTTTTATCATTTAACCTGACCCACTAACATCCTTGTATACAATTGTTTTATATAATAATTAATAATCATTTATATTTTATATACTACTTTTAATAAATTTTTATAATATAAAAATAACAACAATTAATTTTAGATAGAGTTGTTTATCAAACTTAGGGATAGCAATTTTCCCCATTTCCCTGATCCTCGTGGGGATCTACCTCAAATGGGGTGGGGATGGGGATGATTTTCCCCCCGCAAGGATAAAGATGGGGAAATTTTCATCCTCGTTGGCAGGGACGGGAAGAGCACTCCCTACCCCACGTGGACCTCGATCCCCACCCCATGGGATCCCCATTAATATATATATATATATACGCATACATATACATACATACACACACACACACATATATATATATATATACACACACACACGCATAGTTTATATATGTATATATGTACGCATACATCTATATGTTAATATTTTAAAAAATATGGTTGAATATGTTTGAATCATTTTCTAATAGCATTGTAAATTTTAATTATTTTATTTTTATTTTTATTTTTAAATAAAATAAAAAACAAAAACATAATGGTTGACATTATAACGAATCACAAGGAGTGGAGATCCCCATGGAGACAGGGATGGGGATAACTTTGTCCTCATTAGTGGAGATGGGGACGAGGACATGGATGGGGAGAGGCTCCTCGTCCCCGCCCCACCTGTTGCCATTTTGAATCAAACTAATGAAACTGACCAACCCGATTTATAGTATTTGTAATTGACTTTGGTTCAACAATTTTCCAACCCGAATGGGTTGGATCAGTTTCACTTTGGCCATCTGTAAATTGATTAAAATCGAACGACTTAACCATAAATGTATATTAATATTTTATATTTTAAATATATATTTTTTAATACGAGAATGTGGAAAATTTCCAATATTTCTTAGGTTAAAATAGTTCATATCATAAATTTAATTTTTAAATTTATTTTTTTAATAATGCCATTGTATTTTTTAAAACCCAAACTTAATTTTTAAATTTAATTTTTTAAGTTTAAATCTTTTGAACCGACCGACCAAACCAAAAATTGACCCAAACCGATATAACCTGAGTGACCAGCCCCTCCAACCTGACCAGATCGATTTAGTTGGCCAAACAACCTACAACTAAAATAAACCAACCCGTGAACACTAGTTTAATCTCCAATAATTATTAAAAATTTATAGCAAAATACACAATAAACTAAATTTAAAAAGTTAAATAACAGTAGTTTAAACTCCAATAATTATTAAAAAAATTCTATTAAATAAAAAAACAAAAATAGATATATACATAATTATTGAAAATATATTTATCACAAAAATAAATAAATAATTACTGAAATAAAATAAATATTAATTTTAGTATAGATAAATATATAATAAATGAAGATTAAATTTTTAAAATTATTATTAATAAACAATAATTTTTTGAAAGTTGTTTTCTAGAATTATTAATTGGTATAAATGAAATTAGTTATTTAAAATATTATTTATTTATTTAAATAATATCATTTTTTTTAATTTCAAAATATTAATTACTTGTTGAATTTAATAATCCAGAAAATTATAGTACTATTAATACATAATTTTGTTATTTTAGCTATTTAAAATCTAGCTATGTTAAATATTTCGTTATTTAAAATATTTAGTTATTTAACTAAATATTTAAAATCTTAATATATTTATTATAATTGAAAGTTATTCAGTAACTACTTAAAATATAATATTAATTGATTTAAAATATTAATTTTAATATTTTGTTATTTAAGATATTTAGTTATTGAAATATTTAAATAATATTTCATTTTAATGTTAGATTTTTATTATTTGAATAACATTTAGATTGAATAATCCAGAAAACCATAATTTATATTCTTTGTACATAATTTTGTGATGAATTTTGTAAAAATATATAATTATTAATACTATGAATATTATTAAATTAATTATAATTATTTTTTGTCTTTTTAATAAATATTTTAAACTTATTATGTAATTTTGTTAGAATATTTAAATAATTCTTCAAACTTTCTTTAGATAGATGTAGATAAAAAGTGGGGGAGAACGGGGGGAAAGAGAGAGAGATTTTAGGAAGATTTTTTGGGGAAAATAGAATTTATAATAACATGATAATTAAAGCTGTAGGGGATTTCTAATTTTAGATTTTTTTAGGAAAGTAGAATTTCTAATATTAGATTATATAGATGTCGGGGATTTTAGATGGAATTGCATGATAATTAAAGCTAAAGGCAGTTTGTCAGGTTATACAAACTTGTTGTTATTGGTTACGTGGTTACGTAACAAGTTGTACACGTCTTTCTAAATCTAAATTATAAGGAGTGGTTTTTGTTTGGTCATCTAGAAAGAGACATTGTTTCTAGAAGAAACATAGCTGAAGGTAACCTGATTAAATAGTATGAGAGCTCCAGGCTTCCAGAAAGACATGAATTTCCATGGTCACATGGCATGACAGTCCGATTGAAATTTTAAAAACAAGTCGACCCAGTACTCGTAGAGTAAACAAGTTTGATGATGATTGACGCCGCCTCTCAGCCTCTAAAATAGCATCTTTAGATATAACCATGCACACATCTTTCCATCAAGTTTGATTGATTCATCCATATATCCTTCACGACAATTTTGGTTTGCCATGTCAAGAAAATAGCATCTTTAGATCTAACCACATAAACAAGGCATCAGAATTTGGCTTGATTTGGAGGGGAACATTTGAGGTGAGTTGAATATATATTTACAGATAATACTCAGTATATATAAATATAGATATAGATCATTCATGAATTAAAGGCCATCAATTAAGCACTTGCTTTTGTGTAGCTTGAAATTAATAGATTTCAGAGAAAGGTATAGAACTTGCATAAATTGAAATGAGAAGGGTCACACCAGCTTTATAGACTTATAAAAATAAAACTTAGGCTGCATTTAGCATTTTTTATTTTAAGAATTTATCTCCGTGTCAAAAACTTAAGCTATGTTTGGTTTGAAGGAAAAGGTAAGAAAAAGATTTAGAAACCTATACAAAGTTTATAATGATTTCTTTACTTTTCCTTTTCTTTCCCTACTTTTTCTTCAAACCAACTATAGATTTAATGCTTATATAGGTGTATTTTTAACTAAGAAACAGAAAAATCCTGAAATGCCGAATGCAGCCTTAAATTCCAACTTTGTCATAACCTCTCATCTCTCATCTTCATCTTCTCACAACATATTCGCATCTTAGCCAGACATCACTCTTTTTATCTCATTACAATATCCCTTAATAGCATAATTGGATTTAATTCTCAAATGGAAATTAATTGGAACCGAAAATGACACAAGGCGGTGAAGCGACATTTAACTTTCCTCTCGTACACGGACTGCTAGTGTTAAATCAAGACAAGTAGTCCAATATTGGACTAGATAATGTCAAATAATTGTGGGATCCACATAATTAATGACAGTGTCAAATTGCAATCAACGTAAATTTTGAGTTCAGACATGTACTGGGCAATGGAAAGATTCCTTCACCGTTTGAAGGGTTCAACTTCTGGTTAGAAAACTGCAGTATCAACAGGGCAAGGACATAATATACGACAAGGGAATCACAGCAAATCCTGACTGAAAGTCTGAAACGAAAAGATAAGCATCTCTGATGAGAACCATGACGTAAGAGATTATGTATGAAGCTACAACAGATGAGCCAACGCAACAAATTAGACCGCATTATCATTTGTATATATATGATTTATATGTAAAAACAATCGTTTTTCTAGAATCTACTCTAGTGTCTCCATTCTCAACCTCTGTAAAAGTTTTTGCTCCGACCGATCAGTTCCGGAGAAAAGTTGAGTGGATCCTCCAAAAACTTTCATGGGTCCAGAAGATCGTCAACTTCATGTCTTCCTCTTCCCTTTTATGGCTCATGGCCATATGATCCCTTTTATGGACATGGCTAGACAATTCGCGCTGCGTGGGGTGAAGGTCACCATCGTCACCACCCCCTTGAACGCCATCCTTCTTTCCAAGACCGTCGATCGTGATAGAGAGTTGGGTATTGAAATCGATATTCACTCAATCCCATTCCCTACCAAAGAGGCAGGGTTACCAGAAGGATGCGAAAATGTTAATTCCATAACCACGCCTGAACTGAGTTCCAACTTCTTCAAAGCTCTAAACATGCTTCAACAACCGTTCCAGAAGCTCCTTGAAGAACACCACCCCGATTGTATTGTTGCAGACATGTTCTTCCCTTGGACCACTGATTTCGCCGGCAAACTTGGAATTCCAAGGCTGGTCTTTCACGGTAGCTGCTTCTTCTCTTCCTGCGTCCCTGATAGCATCAGCCGTTATGCACCCCACAACAACGTTTCATCGGAAACAGAGACCTTTGTCGTGCCGGGTCTTCCAGACCCCATAGAGATGACCAAGTCACAGTTGCCTGATCACATGAAAATCCAGAACGACTTCACAAGGGCTATGGAGCAAATAAAGGAGGCCGAGGTAAAGAGCTACGGCGTCGTGATGAACAGCTTCTACGAGTTGGAGCCAGCTTACGCAGAACACTACAGGAAAGTCATGGGAAGGAGGGCATGGCATATAGGACCGCTTTCACTTTACAACAGGGAAAAAATAGGTAAGGCGGCTCAGAGTCGGAGGGGAAACACAGCCTCAATCGATGAAAATGAGTGCTTGACTTGGCTCGACTCAAAGGAGCCCGATTCGGTTCTCTACGTGTGTTTCGGGAGTGGGCCTAGCTTCAGTACTGATCAACTAGTGGAGATTGCAATGGGTCTCGAAGCTTCTGGCCATGCATTTATTTGGGTGGTGAGGAAGGATGAGACGTCTGCAGGGTCTGTGGCAGAAGTGGAGCCATGGTTGCCTCAAGGGTTCGAGGATAGGGTTGGAAGCAAGGGACTGATAATAAGGGGATGGGCACCTCAGGTTTTGATTCTTCAGCATCACGCCATCGGAGGGTTCGTCACTCACTGCGGCTGGAATTCCTTACTGGAAAGCGTGTGCGTGGGGGTGCCCCTGATAACTTGGCCCGTTACTGCGGAGCAGTTCTACAATGAGAAGCTTGTAACCCAGGTGCTGAGGATAGGAGTCCCGGTGGGTGTCCAGCATTGGAATTCATGGTTGGGAAAAAGAGAACATCTAGTGAAGAGGGAGGAGATAAAGAAAGCGGTGACTCGGTTGATGGACGGTGGAGATGAAGCAGCGCAGATGAAAGGTCGAGTAAAGGAGCTCAAAGAGATGGCGAAAAGGGCTATTGACCAGAATGGATCTTCTGATACCGATTTCACATCTCTGATTAACGAGTTAAAGCTGCATCGAGATATGGGTGACAAGTTTGATCTTTGATGTCCCTAGCTACTGCCTAATACACTGTCGATCGTGGTTTCTTCTTTTTCTTTTTCTTTTTCCTTTTCCTTTTTTTTTTTAAGGATACTTAGGATCGCATTTTCCTAGTTATCTCAAGTCTCAACGCAAAGAAACGCCTTGATACGAAAAACTTGTGTACTTCCTCCTCTGTAATCGATATCTCTTTCTTTGCTTTATCATAGCTTTTCATATTTGTCGCTTTTCTGGTGGTGGATTCAGCACCCACCACCAGCAGCAGCAGATGGGTTGACAGTGTCATTATATGGACAGCATGTTGCCTCGGAGAGGTCTTTTAAATTTCCGAATAGTGTTATTCAGGATCTCGATAAAAAAGCAAGGGATTTCTTACGCACAAATATCAAAGAAAAGAAACAGCTCCATCTCATTAATTGAAACCGGGTATGCCCTTTTAAGCATTGGGGTGGACTTGGCCTGAAGAATATAACAAATACCTTGGAGAAAAAACTTTTGGGAAACTAAGCTAAGATATTCTTGATTCCCATGATTCGATTAAGAGAGGTATAAGAATGATTATTGGCAAAAGCAATGACACAAAATTCTGGTTTGATAAGTAGTGAGATGAGGCTCCCCTTATCAATTTGGTTAATAAAACATAAATCAATAATTTAGACCTCCGTGCTAATGATGTCATCAATCACGATACCAGAATTTCGAAGGATGACTTGATTAAGAACCTGATGCCTTTTAAGTGCGTGGGAAAAAAATTAAAACTATTTTCATTCCTTTGGGTGATCATGAGGATAGGCTAGTATGGAGGCCTAACCCAAATGGAAGCTTTTCAATCAAATCGGCATATGATGAGGCTTGCTCGATGCATGGTAACCCTACTAGGGTGATAAAGGAAACCAATAAGGTTTGGAGTCTAAAAATTGTTCCCAAGATTAAAGTCTTTTCATACTTCTTGCTCGACAACAAACTTCCTTCTAGGGTAGTTCTTAGAAAAAGAGGTTTTGATATTGACGGCTGTTGTGGGTTTTGGTGGATGAAGAGGATTTTGTTCATATTTTCCTTAAGTGCCATTTTACTAGACAAATATGGCTCATCACGAGAGATACTATTCCGGATCCTTCGGAGAACAGCAATTTGGTGATTGAATGGTGGACTTCTTTGAATGGTAATGTTGAGTGTCCTAAGAGTCCATTTGTGAAAGAAAAAATTGTTGTTTTAATGCGTGGCATATTTGGAAGGACCGAAATAACAAGACTTTCAATAATAAAGCAATTCCCCCTCCCATAATCATTGAGAGAGCTAAAAACTCTTTTATGGAATCAATTTCAAGTTTTGATTGAGACTCAATGATTGGACCTAGTAAATAGATCATCCCTGTCAAGTGGGTAAATCTAAAAGAGGATGTTATCAAAATAAACTTTGATGCTTCTTGCATTAACAACTGATACACCACTGCTTGTGTGGTCAGAAACCACCTTAGCTAGATTTTGGATTTCAAAGCCTTTGGAATAGGAGTTATGACTATTAATCTAGCTGAAGCGTGGGCTGCCTGGGAAGCTCACAATCTCGTTCTCAATTTCAACGGAGACTCCATCATCATTGAGGGTGATTCAAAGTTGGTTATTGATAGTTTGAAGAACCAAATGGACCCTCCATGGAAACTAAGAAGGATCATTGAAGGCTGTAAGTCTTTGATCAAGAGGATGGATGGCGATATTGAATACGGGCACATCTATCGGAAAGGGAATCGGGTTGCTGATGGATGGTGTTAATTGTGCTCATTTCAACCTTTCTTCTCTTGCTTCTTTGCCCTTCTCCTTAAAGTGTATTTCTTGTGCTGACATTTGGGGATGTGCTACCCCCCCGCTGTGTGTAGCCCCTTATCATTTGCATTGATAATATGAGGGTAGCCAACCTGGACGGTTTTATAGGTGCCATTTCATGAATATTGCAATACAAGAGATATGTTGCAAAGAGCACCTACAAAAAGTGAATTGGAGAACACAAGAATGATTCTGATTTCTGGGACGTTTTATTTTCTAGGATTATTAGGTATTAAAATCATTCAAAAATCAAAAACACAAAAATATATCCTCTATTTAAATCACGCCGATTCTTAAACCAGAATGTTCCCCCAATTTCACTCTCCAATCTGGATTATGCTTTTGCATGAGAGGCCCACTGGAAAAATGTGAAAATCAATTTATTTTACTAATTCTTATAAGGCAGTTTCATAAGGACAGAGGTCAGTATATCTGCATCAGCATTAAACCATACAAAGGGTCAACCATGAACCAACCACTCGTAAGTCATAAGTCATAACACACCCACACCCACCAGGCCCCAAATTCAAGCTTTAAAATGACCTCATTTGCATAAATACTCTGCAACATCACCTTTTAATAAGAACTGAAAGAAAATTTACTTAAACTTCTATCCTTTTATATAATGGCTTGAAACACTTCCAGCTTTGTAGAAATAAGCCTTAAACATCCCCTAGCATAGATTCCCAGTAGAAAGTTTGAAACATTTGTCAATGTTAATAAGCTTGCATTTAATCAATTCGGCTGTGTTCGATTTGAAGCTTGGGTGAGGAAAGGTAGGGATAGGTGTAAATTGGGCCGTGCCATACGTGGCCCAACACAATAGATTGTGGGCCATGCCAAGCCTGGGGTTTCAAGTCCATGAGCCGAAAAAAATTCATAAAAAATAAAATTTTAAGATCTTTTTTATGTTAATATTTTTATTATTTTGTCATTTAAAAAAAAAAAAAACACGGGCTTAACCTGATCCGCAGCCCAGCCTAGCCCAAGTCTCATCCCACGGCATAGCACAGACCTGTTCAGGCTCAGACAATGAACCGTTTCGGGCCGATCCCCCGAAATATCCCAAGAGAGAAGCACAGCCCAATTTACACCTCTAGGTAGAAAACCTTAGAGCCAAAGAAAAGAAAAAGGTAACAGATATCCAAGCAAGTCTGAAGTCTGGAAAACAAACATAAGTGAAGAAAGATGTCCAAACTCCAAAGTCTATTTCGAAAAGCAGATTAAGTTTCAAACTTTCATCCAATCTCAAAAAGTATAGTAAAAATCACCTAAAATAGCATCACCGTCTAGTTCAGCTTGGACGGATTCTACTCACCTGGATCCCACATATGTCGGGAAGAATATCTGTATAGAGAGATGCTTTTAAGTTCCAAATGAGTTCGATATCATGCGATTGGGGAATAAGATTTTCCCGTTTTGAACAGTTAAGTTTTATTATAAATTGATAAAAGCAAAATCATTCAGGTTAGCAAAGACGCCCTTGATTATAGCACCTTGCAATTTCGACTAGTTGATGGTTTCGGTTCCTAGAAGTTAGAAGACTTGAACATTAACACATTGTTTAAACTTGGGACGCATCTCCATCATACTTCTGCCATCATGAGAGGAAACCAAATTTGCCTAGATGTATAAATCTAACCTAAACTGCATGGGCAGGAAGGACTGATCTGCTCTAAATTGCAGGTTAAAGCCAACCTAATTCCAAGGCAAATCTTCAAACGAGCGTTCTTTTGAGTTTTGACGACACCCCATAACTTCAGGGTCTGTTTGGTTTGTAATCGGAATTGGAATCAAAATCCTCAAAAACCGGAATTGGAATGGTCCATTCCCATAATCTTTTGGTTCAGACAGAAATAAGAATAAGAATTAAAATCAGCAGAAATAGAATTTCATTCCCAAGGGAGGGGCAAGGAATAGCCATTCCCTCAAATGGGGGAATGCCATTCCAGAAGAAATAGGAATGGAATTCCGGTTCCGCCCAACCAAACAGTTGGAATCAGAATAACCCATTCCGATTCCGATTCCAGACCCCTATTCCCGTGAACCAAACGGGGCCTCAAAATTCCGTGGCTTTTAAAATTTTAAAAGGGTAAAAAAATCAAATATAGGGCTATTTAAGTTCACAATCAATTTACTTTCAACTAATCATTGCCTTTTATTTATGGGAATCTTATAACATTAGTCTGTCCATCAGAACACAAACCATAATAACACTACTACACAGCCAGACCACATATACATCCATCAGGTGAAAGGAGAGTTCACAAACCATAATAACCATTGCAAGGACATGAGAACTCTACTAAAATTAATAGCAATGAAGCATCCTTTTTCCCTTTTTCTTTGTTAAGTTCATCTATTGTCAATAAAGTTTGTCCACTACCATAAGCGTTTCACATACCCCAAAAAAGCGTATATTATGCAATCTTTAAATACATAAGAGAGACCAACAAATGTACCAATTATCTTTAACCAGCATAGTTCAGCAGCAACATTAGACAAGAGGCGGATATTGCTTCGCCTGCTGTCGGACCCTTCTCTTATACTCAGCTGGTTCCTGCAAAAATTAGTATCACATTGTCACTTGCCAATTAGAAACAGGAGCAGCACACTTGTGCTGCTTCCGGTGAAAATTGACACAACTGGTAAGAACCCTCGTTTATTGGTGGCAACATACCTGAATGAACAGTTGATATCCATCTGTTTGTGCAGGATCTGCGGGGTTTGGCTGGTCCAGCAAATCCTGTATGCCCACAAGAATTTGCTTCACTGTGATAGCTGGTCTCCACCCCTACACATAATACAAAGATGTTCAAAGTAGCCAACCGACTGGTACTATATAATCAGCAATCATAATTAATATTGTATGGTTTTGGTTACTTACACTGTCTTCATTGAGAATTGATAGGCACACAGTTCCCGAAGGGTAGACATTGGGGTGAAAGAAACCTTGAGGGAACTTGCACTTTGGTGGTTTACTAGGGTAGTCTTCACTGAAATGGAGTGTAATCGGGAAGTAGCCACCCTCCCAGTCAGTCTGCACAGGTGAAGTTGTTGATGGCCCTCAGAAGTCAGAACCAAATCAAAATTATAGTTACAGGAATTAATGAAAAGAAATGAAAAGGTATTTTCTTTTTTTATATGTAAAAAGAAAAGGAAGATGTTTCCAGTAATTTCACAAGTAGGAAATTGAAGAGATATCAAGTGACAAATATATCCACTAAATATCTCAAGCATGTTCTACTGCTTTAGTGTATACGCTTCATATGAAAGAATAATTAAAGGAAATGTTCCAGATCAATGGAGAAAAGAAATAGAACTGGAGCAACAATATTACTAGTGGAAACAAGTAGGTAAATTGCTGACATTTGTATATAAGAGACTAAGAGAGCAGACTCTATTAAACCCAAATATTTGTTCAGGAGACAAGCAGCAAAATCATTACATTAGTGGAAGTAAACTAATAGAAGAATAAGGTCCATCATCCTCATAGAATAGGTTAATGTTTCTGTTATTCTATTCTCGTTGGACAAAGGAGAATAGAACTATTTATATTGTGCTCCCAGATCTACAACATCTATAACAAAATTTGTAACTTCTACAATTTCGTGTAATCTATCACGCTCATCCATGTACCCCATCTGACTGACAAGCTAGACCTAGCATCAACATAATGCAGGTCTCCCTCCTAAAAGAAATATCTAAAAAACAATTATAAACCATGAGCAGCAGAGAAGGTTAAATTAGTAGACCATGAACCCAAGGTAGGTTTATCTTGGGGACAGAATCCACAAGAAATTGGTCAAACCAAGAAGTCAAAACAACTAATGTTGGCTGAGTTGAACCAAGAAATAGACCAGTCTTGCCTTAGAACTTGGGAAAAATATTGAAGTTGTCAACAGCCCCACCCAAACTGTGTCGGTTATGAAAACTGTGGTACCAAGTAGATCCTACAGATTCACATAACTTTCACAAATCTATGTTTTGGAAACTACACTTGGAGAATGCATGTCCCCCCCCCCAGGGCTCTCTCTGTTCTCTAATACATATAATAAGTATCTTTACCATGTTCTCATACCTTCCTCCCACCAAAAGAAGAGAATGCATCCCTTCACAAAACTGCACCCGATGCTGGCATGGAAAAGGGGAGAAAGAAACCATAGAAAAAATTATCCTTTTCTTTTTGAGGGAAAAAAATCAAGACCAACTGCTGAACAAAAAACAAAATAAATCAAGACGAACTTTTGTAGCATTCTTTTACCAAAAAAAAATGGCAATTCGATTGGAAGTTGGAACAAGTTTAATTAGCCTAAAGAGTCAAAATAGTTAAAAAGAAACTCTTTTAAAGGTAAGATATGTATAATTGCAATGCCAAAAAGGGGAACAATCCCAGAAATTACAATGGAAGCCCCCATAAGAAGAGGGGGCTCCCAGACAACACAGCATAATCAAAAAGCCAGACAGGGTTAAAAAGAATCTTATTACAAGCTTTTACATTTAAAAAAAAAAAAAAAGGAATCTTATCCCTACTATCTTTCATAAGGGGTGGACAGGGTAGTTCAACTTCCATCTGGTCATGGTTAATTGGAATAAGGTGTGCATACCAAGGAAAAAGCCAAAATGGTGGTCTATGGCTGAACCCATTGAAGACAGTTGATACTGCCACTTGGCAAATGGTTTTGAATGTTCAATGAGGATACAGGGAGTCCATAGAGGTGAGTCATAATTGCTAGGTATGGCAACTAGGAATCTTGAATTGGTACCTGGAATTGGATAGCTTATCTTTTGAATGCATGGTTTGGAAAGGAATTGAAAAGTCATACCAACAATATGTTGAAGTGAACAAGTATAGAATTAGGGATGGCTCGAGGATGAGCTTTTGGAAAGATCCTTGGTGTAATGATCGTCCACTCATGGAAAAGTTCACATTTGTTTATGGCTGCCAGAGACACAGAGGAATCAGTGGCTGACTTCTATGGGTTACAAAATAATGAAGCCATTTGGACTCTACAGATTAGAAGGGATTTGAATGATGAGAAGTTGAACCCATGACTGAACAGCTGCAGAAAAGTGAGACCATGTCAGTCATGGGATGAAAAGTGAATCCATTCTCACACCAAGATAGAAGAATGCAGTCATGGGATAAATTAGGGTTGACTCAGTATGGTCTTTCTTTAAAAAGATGAACTCCCCTACAAACAGGTACATTTCCTAATGCAAGGATAAAATCTCCAGTCCCAAAGGTGGTTTTCATAACATGGATAGCAGCAGCAGAGAAATGTGTAATGGTTCCTAGCCTCATATGGAGAGGTCTGACATTGGACAGAAGCAACTGAGTACCATGTGCAGATGGTACATGTTGAAGGCCCTTTGTAAACAGTTGATTTTTTATGAATAACAGAAATTTTATTAATAAAAACATAGAAGTACAAACAGAGAATTTATGTTCATCTCATTACAAAACCCATAGCTCATTACAACCCTTTGAAATCTTTAAAGAATTCCCTACCCAAAATTTACAAAATGGCCCGAAAAAAGATGTTCTCTATTAACCTTTCAAGTAGTATGACCAATTTAAATTAGAGTGCTAATCTGTTACAATTTACGAATTTATACTCAATGTTTTTGATGAATGTTAAACATTATTCACCATCCATAACTGATCTTAATCTCCTCTCTCCTGGAAATTCACGCCACTAAAGCTTCACTACAAGGATTAAAATATCAATACACCTGATACTCTAAGTTGCATATCGGTGTGCATTGACATAACCAATTCTCACTATTCTTTTTTTTCCTATTACGTTTTTATTTAACAATCATTAGAGGGTTCCAACCAAGTATTTTAAAGTTTAAATGTTTAAAAATGCCTTTGTATTGGTGTATCCATGCGTATCTGGATGCACCAAGATGGACGTATCGTATCAATATTTTAATCCTTGCTTCACCATTAAAGCTCTAGGTTATCTCTTCCTTTTCCTTTTTCCTAAACTTGTCTGTAAAATAAGGACTTCCCCCAACTGCTCTAATAACTGTCCATTTCTGCCAATTTTTGAGGAAAACTACTAGACTTCTAATTTGGCAACACCAGCAACGCACACAAAGCCAACACAGCGAAACATCTTACTAAGTTGCTGACATATGGATCACTTTTCAGTTTCCTAAATCCTAATACTGTGGTACTGAAACCTTCTTCCTTTGATTAGACCCAAAGATTTACAACTAACCTTTTGAAATGTATTTGCATCACTTTGTCTTTCACATTGGCTCATCCTAAACAGTACAAACATGAAACACAGCCCTTATTATCTAATGAAATTATTACAGACTAATAAATATTACACACACATACATGATTTTGACAGTCAGAATGGTCTTATCTAATCCTTATTTGTCATTGTAAACATAATGGTGTTAACCCTATACCAGAAAATGATTATGAAAGTCTCCTTCCTTGAAAATATCCAGCAACCTATGTGAACCCCACTTCTCCATTCCACTTAGTGTCATATCCATTGTTAAATTATAGGCCTTCAAAATCATTTCTCACTACTCCAACTCATTTCATTTTGTCATGTGCCTATTTCTTCTAGACCCTTCAGCTCACTTCTTCTCACTAGTGCTGTAGATGGTCTCCTCTAATGTGACTAAACCATCTTAATAAACCTTCCCTCATTTTATTATCTACTTGGGCCACTCCTTAGTTCCTATAAATATGTTTATTCCTGATCATATCCTTTCTAGTTTTCCCATTCATCCATCTCAACATTCACATTTCTGCTACACTATTTTCTAGACATGTTTTTTGACTGCCACAATCTAAGCACCATATACCTCAAATGAGGTACTGAGAAATAATTGGCTTCCCCATATATATTGTTAGTCAGCAATTGATCTCCCAAGTGTACAATCACATACTATTCCAACTTCCAACCATTATTTTAGTGAGACTCAAGAGTCTTCCAAAGTTGGCATAACAAAAGAGAGAGGATAGACAACTAATGTTAAACAAATTGGATGCACACACTTGATGGGTCAATTCTTGATTCTCATAGATCACTCTGAACATCGATTTCTTTCAAAGAAAAATCATATACGTCACTTGTCTTACATCTGATCTTATTCTTTTTAATTGATGATAAACAAAAGGAAAGCATTAAAATAATGAAAATGATATCCTACCCCACTAATGAGGGGATTGGAAGAGCATGAAGATGGAAGGCCTCACCTGAGGCACCTACATACAGATTAACCAATGGAGCAACCAAACAGAAGGAAACAGGGGGAAATCAAAAGAAACAAGTATCCCTTGGGCAGGGTCCCAACAAAACAATCCTCCAACTCCTCCCTCAGCAGCTCACCTGCAGAAGATAGTGGCCCAATGTTTGCATCCAACCAAAGAGAAGTTCACCATAGATAACAGATAATATGTACCCTTTCTAATGAGATGACAATGAGTCCCAAGGTGCATTTGCTGCCTGTCAAAGCCATTCTAATAATAAGTTGAGAACCACCTTCCAGTTCAAGGTGATCTACATCTAATGGAAACACCAGCCTAAGACTCTGAACCAATGGCTCGGTTTCAGCTCAAAAGTACCCCATGCCAAGGGCTCCTAAAAGTGCCTTCAAACCCCAAAAGTCAATAATTAGCAGCATGTTACTCAAATTACAACAGTGAAATAGCTCTAAATTTTGCCACTAATTACAAGCCAATATGGAACCTTAGAAATCAGTACAAACATACCACAAGTGCAAGTTATCTAAATATAACTTACAATGTAGACTCTCCAGTCTCCACACAATGCCCTTCCTATAACTAACCACTACTTCCCCTTCAGTTTCTATACTCTTCCAAAATAACAAAATAAGCTTCTTTGTTGTCTTTTAACCCTACCAGTGTGAGCTTGTCTTACACCACCGGTCCAAATCCCAGATAAAGGAGGAGGATTGTATCAGGTTGGTAGCTGGGATAAAACTTCTGCCAAACTCTTATGGTCATGGATACTGAATTGTGTTTGGAATGGTAAAGTGAAACAGGATTCATGTAGCCAACTGCATATAGTTGGGATAAGGCTTAAATGATGATAATGATGATGATCTCCTTTGCTATTTTTATTGCTGAAATCGGGTCAGTTTTCTAATATAACAAAATTATAAAATATATTATTTGAAGATCAATTTAAACATCATATGGAATGTAGACAAGGCAATGGACATGATAAAAAAGGCATTTTTCTGCATCTAGAGAAGAATATAAAAATAATGCTTCTGAAAGTAGCTTCTAATGCCAGGTTCACAGGAATTCATCTCCTTACCGAGGAGATAGTGATTCCTTGCACTACCCAACCACAAAGAGACACAGAAAACAATTCCATGTCAGAGAAAAACTATTACTCACTACATTGAAGTCAGTACTGACAAATTTGTACTCCAACAAGATTGGGTGACCACAGTTGATTTCCTAGGATCAAGGAGTAAAGGTAGTCAACATGCACACAAACACATATGCACATAGTACTACCAACAATATGCATAGAAACATGGGCGTCTACAATTTACATAAGTGCAGACATATGTAAAGTTTAGTTACCATGACATTATAGACGACAATAATAAAAACAGAAGGCCCCAACTATACTGTTAACATTTAGTTTATAGAACCCCCAATACGAGTAGAATATTTAATAAAACATTGTATAGTGTTCGATTTAAACCCTAAACATCCAATGATCCAAAATTAGGTTATGGTCCATCACCACTACCAAAGAGAGAGGGAGAGTCACGCGCAAAAAGTAAACTCCGATAATGATCACAGTCAACTGATCATTGTGAGGTACTAAAACATATTGATTAACATTAGAAACAACACAACAATAATTGGAAAACAAGTAAAAAATGACTAAAAAATGAAACCACATAATCGAAGATAAAGAGAGAGGAAAACAAGAATTCCAGATGAAAGGTTCACAGAGGAAGAAGACGACTTACCCCAGGCTTACCAGGGATTGTACAGTTCCACACCATCAAATTAACAGAACCATCTGGCAGAGTCTCTGGCTTAGCAACGAAACCCTAGAAAGAAATTCATAAACAAAAAAAAAAGAAAAAAAGTTAAATAAAATCAACAAGGCAAATGAAGCAGAGAGGGAAAGCAAAATAAAAAAGAACCAAAGTCCTCGACGAGAGAGATGTACGGACATGAGGATGATTCTTACGCCAGGCTTTTCGCTCCTCGGCGAGACGTCCACGAGCAATACCTCCCGACATGTTGTTGTCTTCTTGTCACTCTCGCAGTCTCTCTTTGCACTTCTCTGTGTTCTCTTTGTTTTTTTCGTGATAGGAGGGATGAAATGGGAAAACCTCTGCGTCTCCTGAGACCAAACCACTCGTCTTGTGATTCTGCCACTAGCCGGTAGCCCAGCCACCACCCTCTTTACCTCTTTATTATTTCCTCCGTGGGGAAATTACAAGATACCACCAGTCATGACTCATGAGCGTGGAAACATATACAACTATATTCCATGTTTTCATATATTTTTTTAAAACGAAAAACAATAATTTTACAATTTCCTCTGATTAAAAGTCAACTGCATCTTGAGCGTGAGAATCACGCAACTATCTGGTCCCACACCAGATGAACGGTTAGTGTTCCTTGTACGGCTTTACGGTTTCTGGAATCAAAGCACAAACGAATCCCGTGCCGCCCGAAGTACGAGATACAAGAGCGAATCTTTTCCTTTTCGCGAATTCGTGTGGATTCCACCCAAATTAACGCCCACAAGGATTCAATCTCACTTAACGCATCTCACACTGACCTCATGTCCCCATCCTATTATTATGTATTGGGAACATCTCCCATGAATAATAAAACACGGTGGGATGAAGCTGTGCGGTTCTTGTGAGGTGCGTTGTGTAAGTAATAGATCCCGTCTCGCGTATACTATCCAGTCTTGGTTGGTGGCATTTTTTTCAACAACCTCTAGCTTAAAGGCGTAAAGTTTCTTCTTTTCTACTTTTGATTTCAAATTTTCTTTTTTTTTTAATAATAAAAGCATTTAAAAAGCAAAAATATAAAAAAAAAAAAAAATGGATTCCTTATTAATACAATGGGTATGACATTATTTGATATAGAAAGTTTTATCTTGGACCCTACATTGCTTTCCTTTTCTTTTCGGCTCAGCATAAAGTAGTTTCCCTTCTCATATTTCCCAAAAGAAATGGGGCGCGGCATGACATGGGCTTAGCACTTTATTGGATTACTAAACTTTGTTCAAATGCTTTTTTTTCTTCATTGATGAATAATTTCCCCCACAAGGCCCCAAGATAAGTTATCTTCCTAAGCTCGTAATGTGAAAAAAAAAATGGAGGCAATTGCAGACGGACAGAATAAATATCACAGAGAGGATTTTATGTTAATGGGTTGGAGTGAGCATCATTATTGAGAAATTATATGGGAGAATTTGCCATGAGCCGAGCTGTTTTGGTAATTGTGTAATGGGTTTAAGTGCAACTCAGCTAAGGATTTATTTATTTATTTATTGGGTAAATTGCTAAAACCTTTCTCAAGTTTCTGATCATTGCTGAAACCTCCCCTGAAGTTTGGCAATTGCATCACCTCCCTTTAATGTTTTAACGCAGTTACAAGTAGATGGTCAGAATCCTCCAACAACGGGCATAAAATGTCCAAAATACCTATGCAGTTATTATTATCAAAATGCTTAATTTCCAAATTTTTTCCTCATATCAATCGCTACACCAAACCTTTGTAATCTCTTCTCCAAAAATGATTTATTTTTCAAATTTGCTCTTCATATCAAATTATCAATCACTCAAAGGTAAGGCTATAACTTTAAAATCTCTCTTTTTTTGTTGTTCATAATACTTGTATTGTTTTTTTTTTCTTTAAAAACCATGCTCAATAGTAACTGCATTGGTATCTTGGACATTTTTGTGCCTCGTTAGAGGATTATAACATAGAGGATTTACTTGCAACTATGTCATAAAAGCTCAGGTGAGGTGATTGCAATTACCAAACTTTGGGGGAGGTTTATGATAGCAAAAGACATAATACGAAACTCAAAAGAGGTTTGACACCCCGTGAATTTTGATTGGTAGCACCTGTTTGGTCATCTCTTTTATTATGCCAGTTGATGGCTATGAGTTTTTATGATATCATATCTTTTTGCTATTATAGTCAAACCCATTTATTTCACACAATGGGGGCAGCCGACAACCCATCCCCAGGGTCCATAAGGCCATAACCTATCAGGCTACCAATTGAGCCACTATTAGTTGGTAGCGAATGAGATTGAGGTATTGGAATTCACATAGGGGTGCAAGTCAGGTGGGTTGGGACGGGTTTATCGTTAACCCGAGCCTAACCCTAGAATTTGGGTTTAAGGCTCAAGCCTAAGGTCAAACCCGATCTTCTCAACCCAAGCCTAGACGCACTGTAATTTGATGCACTTGGGTTGGGCTTGGGCCTAGACTATGAGACAAAGATTATTTCTGATTTGATCTTATCTATCGAGGGTCCATTTCAGCGTCACAAACATTTTTGTTTTCACATCAAAAGTACTTTTCCAATATTTATGTTAGGTTCTCGAGTTGGTCAATGAACCCACTCTAAAATTATATATATACATATATATATATATATATATATTATCTATAATATCTATAAAAGTGCAAATAGAGGCATCTTGGCTTCTCGAATTTTTATTGGATAGCTTTATCCCTATATCTTCAGGTTTTTGGAGGGCATACATGTAACTATAATTTAATAAAATGTTGCACATTAATTGGCATGATTAAAGAATGAATATAATTGGCTTTTGATTTTGTCTAAAAAATAGCCAATTAATAAATATAGTTGGCGTTACTTTTTTCTTTATAATTGATATAATTAATTGAGGCTGGTCGCTTTAGCATATGAAGCTAGGAAGAAACACTTAATCAGTTTTTACACCCTAAACTCTAATACAGCTACTAACCCTCCTAGAGAGAGAACCTCCTCCCTACTCAGGAAAACATGGCAATGCTTCATCTCTACACTTCTCCAACACTGGCACAAAGTACCGACCCACCAACCGCTTTGCCTTCAGCTTCAAGCCACATTGTCTCGAACGTGTTGTCGCTGCAATTGGCAACTACAAATGATTAGGTGCAAAGCAGCGGATGTCTGTACCTATTACCTTTTGTAATTTGGACACTTGGAGTGAATAATAGAATGAAGCTTGTTATTTTAGTTCTACAACCTCTATTAAAGGTGTTTATGAGTTTTGAGAGAGAAATAGATTGATTGAAGATTATTAGTTTTGTTCTTACAAAAAAAATTCCCCCTTACAACTCACATGGAACAGACTATATCCATATAGGATTTTAAAATCAAAGAGAGAGGACAAAACTTAATAAAATCATTGCAAGGTTGACCTTCTGACACTGTTTACCCCTTCATCTTAAGACCCGAAACTGGAATCGAATCCAATTATCCGATCGAAGGCATTTTGATCCTAAACCTCATTCTATGTCAAATCAGAAATCCTAAAACATAGATATGTATATCCCATAAATCCAAATCCAACGGCACCAAGATCACCCCGTTTACCCTTTCATCCTAAGACACGAAGCCAAAATCAATTTTGGTCGTCCAATTGAAATCATTTTGATCCTGAACCTCAGTTTATGTCAAATCAGAAATTTGACACCATAAATACATAGAGCCTAAAAATCCAAATCCAACGACACCCATATCACTGAAATCCGACACCATTTACCTCTTCATCTTAAGACCTGAAGCCAGATTTGATTCCAATCGTTCGATCAGAGTCATTTTCACCCTAAACCTCATTTCACGTCAAATCAGAAATCCAAAATCATAGGTACAGATCCCAAAAATCCAAATCCAGCTACACTAAGATCACCCGAATCTGACATTATTCACCCCTTCATCCTAAGACTCGAAGCAAGAACCGATTTCAATCATCTGATTGAAGTCATTTTGATCTTAAACTTCATTTCACATCAAATCATAAATCCAAGACCATATGCACATGGACCCCAAAAATCCAAATCCAATGACACCAAAATCATCCGAATCCAACACCGTCTACTCCTTCATCTTAAGACCCGAAGTCGGAACCGATTTCAATCATTCGGTTGGAGTTATTTTGATACTGAACCTCATTTCGCATCAAATCATAAATCTAAAACTATAGGTAGGGAGAGCCCAAAAATCTAAATCCAGCACTAATTACCCCTTCATCTTAAGACCCAAAGCTGAAACTGATTCTAATCGTCCGATCAGTATCATTTTGATCCTAAACCTCATTTTATGTCAAATTAGAAATCTGACACCATAGTTACATAAAGCCCAAATCCAAATAACATATATATACATCTATATACATATATATATATATATTATTTGGATAAGTGTGAATAGGTGTCTTTGATTTTTGAAATTTTTATTGGACCACAAATGCCCCTCTCTAAACTTAGAATTGGAAAACAATACAAGTCAAAATTTTTATTTTACATCTTCATTTAATGCTTTTATACTATTATTAAAAGTGTGAATAATGGTGTGGAGCTTTTGTATTAGAATACCCTTATTTTTTATTTTAATTCCTGTGTGATTGTGAGGGCACAAAATGTAATTCAAACTAAATTTCTTCTCATTAAATTCCATCTCATTAAGTTGTATTATTAACTCCTATTCCTTTATTGAATCCTATATTTAAGATATTATTTTCACAAAATAAAAAAATATAAATTTTGTCAATTAGATTTACATGCAATGCTTTTAACGATATAAATACATGTTTTTTTTTAATTTATCCCAAAATGGAACTATTTTTCCATCATGGTGGTGAGTAAGCAATTCAGCCATCTAAGTCAAGTGGGCTAATCCATGAAAAAAATAGAAACTTAATAGAAAACATTTGGACACATATCTAATATTTATATTAATCATATTAAAAGTTAGACATGATAAACAATAATTGTTTTTAACTTTTTATTGATGATATAAATAAAATTCAAAAATCAAAATTAACTAACTGGTGAAATTATTTTCTTATTTGATGGTAGATCAATTCAACACTTCAGATCAAATGTATTAACTTGTGAAGTTATAATTAAATAATAAAATTTTATTTTAAAAAGATAAAACACAAAAGTATACAAAAAATATATACATTATATAGAAAACATCTAGGTATATCTCTATATTAATAAACTATAATAAGTGTGACAAATAAGAATAATTTTATACACAAAAATTTTAAAAATTATAAAAATTTTAAAAGCATATTATACACTATCATCATTATAAAATTTGTCATGTGCAAAGCACGTGAACAAATACTAGTACTTATAGAAGTGTGAATGAGGAGGTATTGGCTTCTGAAAATTTTCTTTACTGAAATACCCCTCTTTTTGAATTTAGTTCATCTCCATTAAAAGGGCGG